CAGAGGGTTTACTCACTTAGAACAAACAGCCTTTAGCCCCACCAGGATGTTTTTTGGAGCTAAATCCACCACTCTGAGTTTCTGAGGGGGAGCAGCTAGTCCCTGTGGTTGCTCATGCAAAATTAACCCTCAGGCTGAAAGGTGCCATGTTAAGGTGTCCTGATTTGGATGCCATCTGTGCTGTAGCAAATCACTGATTTAAATCAGAGCTTGATATAAACATAATTAAGAGTGAAAATTATTATTTCACCTTTAGCTCTTAAATGAGAACAGAGATATGACCTGATGAAGAAAAGAGATAAAGGCCAGAAGGGGATATTCAGTTTTCTGTTCTTCAACAGTTTTGTTTCAGCAAGTAACCACTGTGAGTGTTCAGTAATTTGCATTTTGGCTAAAGCAGCTGCTCTGTAAAGATGTCCAGCTGTGCTCAAAAACATCTGGACATGAGCTACCTGTAACTTCCCATGGGAATTAGCTTCCCTGGTTAACCACAGTCAGTTTGAGAAGAAATCATGTCTTGTTTTCTAATTTCCATCAGTGTGGTTTCAGCTTCCCCTCCCCATGGGCATTGCTAATGCAGGATGCTGCACAGTGCTGCTGGCTCTGGGCCATGTCATTTGGGGTCCAAAGCAAAACTAGGTGCGTGCACAGCTGGGAGTAGGAAAGGGCTTTGGGAATGGCACAGGCACTGGCACAGGTTGCCCAGAGGAGCTGTGTGAGGAGGGTTGGAACTAGAGAATCTTGAAGATCCCTTCCAACCAAAACCATTCTGTCATTCTAAGATGACTTGAGGCTTTTTTGTTCATGGTTGGCATAGAGTTGTTGGCCAAGAGGTGTGGAGTGCTTATCTTATGTTCAGGGTAAACAGTGAATGGCAATTCAACTGCTTCTTCTTGTTCCCTGGGCCCTGGAGAAACATTATGTAAAGCTCTCCTTGCATTAACAGGGTTTCCTCTGCTGAGCTGGACTTTTGTGTTGGTAAGTGAGAGGATAACCCTGATGTTGCCACATGACTGTCAACAGAAAAACCCAAGGAGGCTGTAAAAAATTATTTAAATAACATATTTATAAAAAGCCTGCCTGCTGCTCTGAACACCCCACTACTGAGCCCCATAACATTGCACCTGGTTGAGAGTTGTGCAGCCACATGCCTGGTTCCTGCTTTGTCTTCTCCTTGGCTGATCTTATGCTTTTGCAATGTGATATCAAAGCCCTCTCCTGTTTAGTGGGAACAGAGCTGAAGGGCAGCAGATCCTGTCCTTTGGAACAAAGTGTTTTGTCTGACCAGGAGGCAGGCAGCTGTAGGATCTACAAGCAAGGAGGCTTTGCTCCTGGCCAGGCTGCAGCCTTGCATAGCACAAGCTTGATGAGCCCATGCCAGCCACCCAAGCAGCCTCTGAGCTGGAAGGCAAGGAGAAGATGATGTTTGGAGGGAGGAGGGAAGAGCCTTTCAGCAGGTGTTTGGTCCTGGCCAGTGCAAACACTTTCAATCCTTCTCCCTGTTGCAGTTCTTAGAGCCATGGCTGTTACCAGCTGGCAGGAGCTGGAGCACCTGGATGATGCTGGAGGTGAAAAGGGGAGTCCACAACACCCCTGAGTCATAAGTCTGGCTCAGTCTTCCAACAAAGTGGTTTTTGGTTTAACTCCTTCATGGCAGGACTGAGGTTAGGATCAGACAACTGTTTATAAACATTCATGCTGGGTGGTGAGTGCAGGTTCCTCTTCCTGCTCACAGGCAAACACATGCATATGCAAGTGTAGAGTTGTTAATTCAAATCAGGCATGAAAACACCCACTTCTTGCTCTCCTGGAGCATCTGAGCTTGGTCCAAGAGGGCAAAGAGTAATTAGACAGCCTTTGGGCATTTTAACATGGCAGAGGTGAAGTTCAGCCTGCTAAGCATGAAATGCTGCAAATTAGAGAGAGTAATGAATTTTAACGCTGCCCTAAGAACATTCCCTCTGCCCCTTCCTTTTAATTATTTTGCAAGGTGTTTTATTTATTATTTGTTTGTTTTTCTAAATGATCCTGAACAGTGTCCCTTCCCCTTCTGCTTGGCATTTCCTTTGCAACTCAAATCCATCTACAGGCTGTCATGTGAGAGTAGCCCTGCAGCGAGGACAGATGGCTGGCAAGGTGACAGTCACTGTAGGGTGGGATAGCAGGGCAAATTTTCAGGCAGATCTGGGCATCAGAAAGGCTGGAACTCCTTGGCTGAGATGACTGCCACCCTGTTCTCATAGGGATGGACATTGAACAGGATGTCTAGTCATCATGAAAGTCAGTGTTGCAGGGATCACTGGAAAGCACAGCTCCAAGCTGCAGGGTGTAGCAGTAATTTTATGAATGAGCAGCCAAGTGCCAGCCCTTGGCCATGGTACAGGCTGCAGAGAAGCATCCAGCATCTCCTACATCAAACCTAAAATTCCTGCCTTTAACTTGAGCATGGCTTTTAGAAAGACCTCCCTCCTCCCTTCCCTTCCAGGCTCCCTTCCTAATCCTGCTGGTTCTTTCTGCACAATCTCCCATGGAAATATCCTCTCATGTCTTTCAGCCCAGTTCATGCACCAGTCCAAGCAATTCATCTTGCATGTCAGCTTCCTCCTCTCTCAGCCTGTTGTTCCTGCAGAAGGCAGTTGCCAACCATCCTTTCCCAGCACTGCTGCTTTCCCCTGTCTCTCTTTAGCATTGAGTGCTATCACTGTGAAAGTCTTGGCCTCACTGTCACTCAAAAGCAGCTTGTTCAGTGCCAGATGTCCCCATGACCGCCCTGGGTAAATCTCCCTTATTTTTCACCCCTTCCTCTGCTGGAGATCTGAAGGCCAGTGCCTTCCCTGGCCCTCTTAGCAGGGTGGATTGGACTACTGGGTGCATTCCCTGACTGCTCAATGAGGCTGTCAGCCTTTCCACAAGGAGTAAATTTGGTGTATTATTTGGGGATTTACGTGACCGTGTTCACAGGGGTCTGAGGATGAGGGGAGAGATGAGGATCTGACTCCATGTTTCAGAAGGCTTGATTTATTATTTTATGATATATATTATATTATATTAAAACTATACTAAAATAATAGAAGAAAGGATTTCATCAGAAGGCTAGCTAAGAATAGCATAAGAAGGAATGATAACAAAGGCTTGTGTCGTGGACAGGGAGTCTGAGCCAGCTGACTGTGATTGGCCATTAGTTAGAAACAACCGCATGAGACCAATCACAGATGCACCTGTTGCATTCCACAGCAGCAGACAATCATTGTTTACATTTCATTCCTGAGGTCTCTCAGCTTCTCAGGAGAAAAAATCCTAAGGAAAGGATTTTTCAGAAAATATCATGGCTACAGGTTTATATCAGGCCATTTATTTTTAAGGCTTTTTTGAGGGCAGGTGATGCACTTGGGCCTCTTTGTATCATCTGGGATGCTACAAAGCATCTGGTACTGATGGGAGGGAGAAAATCCCCATGAGCTGCTTTTGCAATTCCTCCTCAGTAGCACAGACCTGTGGAGCAACCAGCAAGGGGATTATTTTAGGTTTACTTAAGCTCTGAGTGATGAGCACTTGTGCTGCTAATCAAGCTGATAAATGTTGTCAATTAAACCTGTGCTTTGCTCTTCAGCTTTCCAAAAGTGAAGTGTTTTTGTCTCTCTCAGAGGAGAGAAGGCTGGCTGGGTGGGCAATGCTCCTGGATCACCAGAATGGGCATTAGTTTAGCTCTCAGACACCTGCTTTCCTTCTGCTAATCGTAGTGGTTCATTAACAAGGGATGTCACACTGCTGCTTAAATTGGTGCCAACCATCAGTGATCAAATAATCCTTGGGATTTTGGGTGCTTACAAATTAGCTGCTTCTGATTAGCCATTATCACAACTTCATTATCCCACCACGTGTTGTGATACCACAGCAAGCATATGGTTTCTGTATGTCTCACTGGGAGGGATGAGAGGTCAGCCTGCTGGATGCATCCACCCACTGGATGGGGCACCCTTAGTTTTACCATGTTGGAGACTGAAGCTGGGATTATGTCACTTAGGAGCGTGCTTTAGTGGTGGGCTTAGCACTGCTGGGTTGGTGCATAGGTGACCTTAGAGGTCCTTTCTGACCTGAATGATTCCATGCTTCCATGGTTTTGTAGCACAAACATTCCCATTTCTTTAGGAAACCACACTAGATATTTCCAGACTGAGGTCACTAATGGCCAGCTTTTGGAAAAGGACATTCCCTTTAGGGAAGAGATAAGGATTGTACATGTCTGTTAAAAATAAATACAGAGAAACTTTACGGAAGGAGTTCTGGAAGAAGTCTGTGATTAGGGGAGCTATACAGAGCACTCCTTTTCCTTGTACCTGAGCAAAGGGGTTGGTACCCAGTGACCAAAAGGCAGGGGTGGTGGAGAAGAGCTATTTCTCTCTGGGGGGCCTTTGAGCAATGGTTTCCTACTGTTATCTGAATTGCTAAATGCACATCTCTACCTTGGAAGCAAGACACTTGTCAGGAAAGAATAATTAATCCAGAAACGTGCGGTGCTGTGCCAGGAGACCTTTTTTTTAATTAAAACCCGATCTGATAAAGTCTGCTGAGAAATTGGTGTCTCTGACAAAATCATGAAATGTACAGTTTTGTGAGTTGAGGCTCCATGGTGGGGGTGCTCTGGGTAGGGCTCAGCCCCCACAGCTCTGCACACCCATCTTGCAGGGGGTGTCTCTTCCTCCTTTGCTTCTGAGGGCTGTGTTTTTCCCAAATGAGTTAGAAATTTGTTGAGAAGCAGGGCACCAGTTATTATCTACTGCTATGCCTTATTTGGTGTTCATTTGGCCAGTTTGGGGGATAAATGGGAGTCCCAACCCCGACAGATCAACAAGGTACACTTGGGCTCAGAGGTGGTTGTCTTCAGCCACCGTGTCTTGGTGCTGCCACTCAAGAGTGGCAGAGGAGGACTGGGTGTCCCTGGGCAGACCGTGCCCCGTCTCATTGCTGCTCTGCCTGTCCTCCAGAGCCGGTGGGGAAGGATGTTTTCCTCAGTGAAGCCCTACGAGAACCAGCGGTACGCCTCGCTCAAGAAGGAGTGCCAGCGGCGGAAGCAGCTCTTCGAGGACCCGCTCTTCCCCGCCAACGACGACTCCCTCTTCTACAAGTCAAGGATTCAGGGCATCCAGTGGAAGCGACCCAAAGTAAGTGCCCCATCCCCTTGCCCCTCAGCACTGCTTTCTACCATCTCTGCTTCCAAGTGCTCCTAAAAATGCACAGTGTGCCCTTCACCGAGGCTGTCAAGCCCCAGTCAACATCTCCTCTCCCCAACAGCATTTATTTATTTACCCAGTCCTCATATTGTGAGCCTCTAGGGTGCCAGGGAGACCTGCTACACTCAGGTCCAAGCTTCTCTGCGTCCAGTGAGGTCCAAGAGCAAAGGAGGCTTTTCTGTGACTCAGTTTCCCCATGCATAAACCAGAGAGATGATTTGCAGCTGGGTTGGTGTTGTGTACTCCTGTGAGGCTGGTGGGTCCAGCAAGGCAGAGCATTATCTCTGAATGACAGAATGGTTTGAGTTGGAAGAGACCTTAAAGAACTAGTTCCAACCCTCTTGCCAAGGGCAGGGACACCTTCCACTAGTGGTGGTCCATTTGGAAGGGGAAAAGATAAGCTTTGGATAGGTGAGGTGATTTTGGGATCTTTGGGGAAGAGGGTGGTTGTACCCATCCTCCCTCTTCTGTGCAAAAACCTCTGTGCTGCTGTGTCTGTCATGAAGGCAGGCTGCAGGAGGCTGGGGATGACATTGCCTGTCCCCCAGCATTGCCAGTTCCTCTTCTTCAGTCCTCAGTGCCAGCCCAAAGGATACACATCAGGACCTGAGGGCACTATGGGGAATTTGTATGTCTTGTTATGGCTGTCTGCTTGGAGTTGCCCATGAGCACAGTGCTCTGACTGCTGTGAAGCACAAGGAGTCCCAGGTACCAGTGATAATTGTGGCTGGGGAGTGGCAGTATCCCAGCATCTCACACACCTGGGTTTCCTTCCCTCCCTGTGGGGAGCAGCAGCCCTCTCTGCCCAGCCTGTGCTTTCCCACATGTGACTTGGTGGCATTTGAGTGTTGTGGGGTTGCCTGAGCTGCCGTCATCATCTTCGCCCCCGCTGACAGCCCAGAAAATCAGCTGGCCTTGCACAAGACAGTGCTGTGTCTGTCTGGGCGAGGGCAGACTGGAGGGGGTGCACAAAAGGCTTTGTGTGAAGGGAGAGAGGGAGCTGAACTGACTCTTGTTGTGTGGCAGAGGGGCTGAGCCCTCCAGCATCCCGCTGGGCTCCTTGTGGGAGGAGACCTCACTTCCCTCTGCTCTGCCTTTGTGTCTTCCACTCCAGCTCTGCCTGGACACTGGATTTGTGCAAAGCCCTGTGTGTGTTTTAGTTTATTCCCCTTATCTGCTGGAAGGAAAAGAGGCTTTGTGCACAGCTGCCTTCTGAAGACAGGGCCGACCATGGTTTGCTCTCAGTGTGGGGGCCAACATGAACACACCATGCACATCCCATTTATACAGCAGGCAGGTGGTAGCTGAGACTTTCTAAACAACTTTCTCTGGGACTAAAAGGTGGGGATGTATTTGAGACCCCCTTGCTGATTTGCAGTCAGGTCACACACATTACTGCAGCCCCATGTCTAAAGACAGAGGATGGGATCCCTTTGTAGAGGGACAGGGATTGTTTGTGTTCTGCTGAGCATCTCAGAGCTTTTCTCCATCTGCTTTTCTGCCTTTCATCTCACTTGCAGCCCTTGGTGTTCAGGCAGGTGTTATCCTCTTGCTGCCTTGCTCTGTAGAGCATGAGTTCTTTCTAAGAAAGCTTTCTGAACCTCATCTGCAAGGTGTCATGCTCACCTAGTTCAGACCCATCCCTGCTGAAACAGAGAGTGAATCAGACTTTTTCCAGCCACCTAGCTCTGCAGTCTCATAGGATCATAGAACTGTTTGGGTAGGAGGGGACCATTAAAGCAATTAGCATAGAATGTTGAATCAGGGCTCTTTCTCCCAGTGGGAATCGAGGCTGGAAGTGGGTCCCATGTGCCAGCAAGGTCCTCTGGCTTATCAAGACATAGAGATGGTCCTTATTTTGCTGCCCGTGCACCAGATAAAGGGAATTTTGCCAGCAGTTTGAGTGCCAGAAGAATGCATGCTGAGCAGTGGCAGACTCATGATGCCTCTGTCTGGTAGGATTGTTTGATCCAACCTACTCACCTGCCTTGACCACAGAATCACCATTAAAAAGAGAATATGAGCTCACACCTGCCCTGTTTGCTGCTGAAGTTTCAAGAAGCCTCTTTCTCAAAAGCATTTCTCTATGTTCTTTCTCTCAATTGTTCATTTCAGCAAAAGTAACTCAATTTCACAGGGAGAATTGCTTTGTGCCAGCAGAAAATGCAAAATGACATTTTTAGTTGCTGGACCTGATTCTGCTTGAATTCATACTGGCTTTCCAAGGGAGGGAGTCCAGGAAAAATCCCAGCATCTTCTGCAAGAAAGCAATCACTATCAGCTTTTCCAAGTTAATGCAGGATTCAGTAGAGTCCAAAATGTCCATGAAGCTTAAATCAACTGTTCTGCTTGTGTGCTATTGAATGGCATGGTGCAGTTATTAGACCACAGAAACATCTTGTTTCTATTACAACCAGCAAATCTTATCTTAGGCAATCACAGTTAAATCTCTTTCAGAAAAAAAGCAAGTAGTGATACTCCCAGCTTTTGATAGATGCTGTTTTGTGGATTTCCATACCAAGAAATGGAATCCCCAGTCCTAGGAATACTGTTTACAGGGAAGGGATGGCGTGCACACACTTTTATCTCTCAGGGCCATGGCCATGAGTTGTTCTGGAGTATTTGAGCTAAAACTGTGATAAAACCTAAGAGCTCATAGTGTCTCTGGCTTTGCTGTGAGGACAGAGTGGGTGGAGAATGGAAATAAATGCTGTCCACTATTAAAAACAACCACTTGCTTTCTCAGAAAAGTTGTCATCTCTGATCTCCGGAAAGAAATCAGACGTAGGAGATAAATTATGCCTTGAGAAGCTGTAGCTGCTGTATTCCTGGAAGTGTTCAAGGCCAGGTTGGATGGGCTTTGAGCAATGTTGTCTAATGGAAGGTGTTCCTGGCCACAGCAGGGCAGTCAGAACTAGGTAATTTTGAAGGTCCTTCTGAATGAAAACCATTCTGTGATTTTTCAGATAAAGCACTTGCATGTGAAAAGCAACCACAGTGAACTCACTGGGGTGCTGGCAATGTGCTTTGGCAGAGGCAGGATCTTATTTCCTCATACTTCCATGGTGCTAGGACAGATCTAAATAGTGTGTCCTCTGTGTATGCATCTCTACCTCCCCAGCTATTCTTCCAGCATCCTCTCTGTTCCTCCATGCACTCCCAAAGCTTGAGGCTGTTTTGGCAAAAAAAACCCAGCAAAACAACAAAACCCCCAATCTCTGCAGTGCTTTCCCGTTTGTTTGAGGTTTTTCTGGGCAGAGGGGAAAGGGAGAGGATGAGGAACAGCTCTGGTCCCTTCCCTGGTCAGGCTGTTTTGCTTCAACTTCCTCCTGCATCCGGCACTGCAGCCTTTCCTGGAACGGGCTCAGCCTTATTATTTCCAGCAGGGTGTCCTCCCTCCCTCCCTGCTTTCCTTGGCCTCCAGCCCTGCTCTGGATGCCAGATCTTTGCAGAGGGAGCAGCTGTTTGAGCCCTCTAATCGTGTTTTGGCTCCGGTGGTTGTTTGCTGGACGCCTTCGTGATGCGGCCCGGCGAGGCCAGAAAGCCAATTACTGGAGTGCTTCAGAGGGAGGGAGGGAGGGAAACCACAGCATCAGCCTGGGCAGGGAAGGGGGTCCTGGAGAGCCCTGTTTAGTGAATCCACTTAAAAACAAAGCTGGCTGCTTGTTGCCTTGCCAGAGCAGATTTTGGAGATCATTCAGGCAGCATCAGCAGCTCCTTTTGGCAGCAGCACTTGGCTGCTGCATTAAAAATTAAACAGAACTTTTGAGCTTAGCTCAAATCCCAACACCTTGCTTGAAACTTCTTTCCCTCGTGCTCTGTATGCTGCTGTGCAAAGGAGAGGGAAATCTGTGTCCAGCAAGCAGTACCACTCCCAGTGGAAATCTCAGCCTGACCCTCAAGCTGAGTTTTGCCCTCTCCTTTCGGGACAGGAGTGCTGGCAGCGCACCTTGGAAGTGAGAGGTTTGGTCTGTGCATTGGGTGAGCTGGTCTGGATGGCTGGGAGGTGGGTAAATAAGAAGGGGTGGCACAAAGATGAGTAGAAGGGGTTGAATGAGGTGCAGGATGGATGGCAAAAATAAGGGAAGATCTGGGGCATCTGCTGTGTCTGTTGATCCCCTGTGGAAAAAACAATGATGGTGTAGGATAGAAGAGACTCATCTACCCTGTGGGGAAAGGGTTAATCTCTTCTAATCATCACTGTCCCAAGTTCTCTCCTTGGGTACAGGGTGCTTCCATGATGCCATGGGATTGCTACAGGCTTTGGTTAGGGTCTGTCTTTAACACCTCTGGGCCTTACCCAGGGCTTGTTTTCTCTCTGCAGCAAGAGGGACACTTGGTTCAGGTTCAGCCGGCCAAGCTATGACCTGCTGCTGGGATGGGTCACCAACCAGGACAAATTTGGGCATCACTGCACCTTTGGGAAGCAAATGAAGCCTGGTGGATGTGGCATCCACAGCTTCTCAGGACAACCTCATCCAGTGTCTCACCACTCTCACAGGGTAGAATTTCTTCCTAATACCTAATCTAAATTTACCCAATTTCACTTTAAAGCCATTCTCCCTTGTCCTGTCATGCAGGATTTATTATGTCCATTGTCTCTTGGACTGGATGCTGTTGTCTTCAGAGGAGGTGCTGCAGGATGGGAGAGCATCTCTTAGCTTACATCAGGGACAGGTGTGATGTTGAACTGCATGAGCTGCATGCTCTGGTCCTTCAGCTCTTCCCAGGGAGAAGGCTGAGCATGGAGATGGTGTTTTCCTCCCTGTTCTGGGAGGCAGGTGGCTGCTGTGTGCTGAGTGTATTCCTGTCCAAGCAGTGTCACAGTGACTGTGTGGCTCAAGGTGACCTGTGGTCATTGTTGAACCTGGGCTGCATCCCTGCACTGTGAGTTCAAGCCTGGATGGTTGCAACCACCAGAGAAACTCTTG